TTGTTTTAAGATTTCTGTCTGTGTTTGCTGTTTTGCAGTTCAGTATTATGCGTCTAAGTATGGACTTGCTTTTATGGATCATGCTTGAGACTAGTTAATTTCCTGAATTTGAAGACATATAACTTTTTCCATTCCATGAAGTTCTCATCCAGTATCCCTGAATAATGCCTCTCTTTGTTTCTCTATTCTTTTCCCTAGAACTTGTATTACACATATTTTATTTCTTCTCAATATATCCTCCTTGTCTTTAAACTACTCCTTATTTTTCATATATCTTATCTATTTGTGCTTCATTCTGGGAAATTTTCTCAGTCTTTTACTAATTTTCTCAAATAGGATATTTACCTCATTCAGTAAAATTGTAATTTCTATGATACTTCATTTCTAGAAGTTCTGTTTGATTTTTCAAATGTGCGTATTCTTTTTTCATCATGTCCTATTGTTTCACTATGCTTTCTTTTTTGTTTAAGTCTTTAAATGTTTTAAACACATTTATTTTATAGTCTCTTTTAGGTTAGATGTTATCTCAAGTTTTTTGGATGTTAATCCTCATGGCAGATCATTTCCTCATATGGTTTTAAGTTTTTATTGTGGATTGGGAAAATGGCCCTCTGGAGCAATTGCGCTTTTGTTCCTGAGAAATATTTCAGGGTTTCACTGGTCTGGGGTTCATTTTTACCTTAATTCCTCAGCTTGGAAATTCTGTACTCTGGGTACTGCAAATAGGGATTCCACACCCATGCATGACTCTCACTTAGGGTTCTGATGGATAGTGGCAGCTTCCCTGACTCCATCCCACCCCTACCCAGAACCCTAAACAGAAAGGGACATCCTTAGACTTCCCTGGGCCAGTGACTCCATTACACAGTGGGGCAACCTTTGTGGCCCTGCTTCATGCATGAGTTTCAGTTCCCACTCTCCATTCTACAGAAGGCCAGGTCTCTTCTCCTTGCCTTGCCATTAGAGCTGACACTGGGGTCCAGAGTGCCCTCTCGGCAGCAATGCAGTCACTTCTTATGTTTACTGCTCTGACTCAGGGGTGCCTTCACTGAAATCCTTGAGATGAACTGGATGCTGCAACAGCTGCCCTCTTGGGTTTAGGTGTTGTTCCTTTATGGAATCCATGCCTAGGTCTGTGGCATACAATTTTTAGGTGTCTCATTCGACCAGTTCCAGAGGTATTTCAGCTTTTAGCCTTGATATTCCAGTTATACTGCCTTTCCTGCTCTGATTCAGGGTTTCCTGCATCTGAAGATTCTCTTTCTTTGGAGCTCATCTATGAATGTAAAAAAGATTTTTATTATATTTTACTATATTTTATGCAGCATTTCTATGCATTTTGTGGGGGGAGAGGGGAGCTTAACTCAGTCAACCAAATTTTCTTTCTTGGATTTTCTATATAAATAATTGTATTATCTGCAAATGATGACAATGTTGTCCCTGCCTTTACAATCTTTCTTCCTCTTATTTCTTCGATTTTGTCTTATATCACTGTCTAGGAATACCAGTACAATATTGCAAAGTTTTTGTCATAGTCACAAAATAGACTATGAATATAGGCTTGATTACTATTTGATTTAGGAAGGAAGTCACTCACATTATTGACAAACAAGTGTATTCTGACATGAATTTTTTTTTAACCAGAACATTTATTGTGCTGACTAATCACTGAAATCCTTGAGATGAACTGGATGCTGCAACAGCTGCCCTCTTGGGTTTCGGTGTGTTGTTCCTTTATGGAATCCATGCCTAGGTCTGCGGTGTACAATTTTTAGGTGTCTCATTCGACCAGTTGCAGTAGTATTTCAGCTTTTAGCCTTTGCATTCCAGCTATACTTTCTCTTGCGCTTTGTAGGGTAGCAACATTTGCCACCGGTCAACTTCTAAAAGTGGAAGGCCTTAGCGCCACCACAGAAGCACAATGTGTGTCTTATGGCAAGGGTTTCCAAACAATGGTGAATGGGATGTTCTCTTCATCGTCTTGCTTCTGTGCCAAGACCAGAGAGCCTGATGTGTATGTTGACTGATATTTCTGTTTGTATTAAGGGGAAGGTGAGAGAGAAACAATGAAGATGTATAAAGACATATACCAGAACTAGTCAGTCAATGTTGTGGATATCTTTGTTCAATCAGATAACAGTTTTGAATCTTAGAAATGTAGTTCCTTAATTTTTTATGCTATTTACAATGTAACAATTACAAATACAACCCATTTTTAAGCCTAATCTGCATTATTAACATTTACTCCATTACTTTCTTAAATCTAGACAGTCAACAGAGTGATAGACCTAGTGCTGATTTGTAACATTTGCTGATTTCCAGGGTGTCAGTATGCCCACTATGGCAAATTTCAATCAGCCAACATGACCCTGAAGACCACAGAGTTGGGAAGAGCTGTACAGAAGCACATCATTGTTTAGCATTTCCACCCTAAGGCTACAGTAGATGGAAATCACCTCAAGAGCGTAGCTAATAGCAAATGTGCTAAAAGAATTAGGAAATGATTAATTTTGAGCATTTGTTTCTTTAGTTTTAATGTAATTTATTTAATTGCATATTTATATAAATTTTGTATAATGGTTGTGCTTAATAACTGGCTCATAAAATTCCAGAAAATTTAGCTGTGGCTCTCTCGAGCCATTGTGAACTGGCTCCAGCACACTACTGACCTCTGAAATAGACTTGCACACCAGAGGAAGCTTCCTGAAAGACTGACGTTTGAGTGGGACTCTGGGGGTTGAGTAGAATTCTGCTAGATGAAGTAGAGGGTGGCATCTCAGGCAGAGGAAATGAAGAGAACGAGGAAAGATACCCACAAGGTTACAGCATTAGCTTCACCTGGAAGCTTAACAGAAGTGCAGAATCCCAAGTCCTCCCCTGGAAATACTGGATCAGACTGCATTTTAGCCAAACCCTTATCAGCATTTTAAAGTCTCAGAATCCCTAAGCCAGAGCAGGCTTTCTCTCAAGTGGTCCAGACCACTTACGTTGGAATCACACGAAATGGTTGTTTACAGTGCAGATCCTGGGCCCCACTCAGGCTCCTGACCTTCTAAATTGGAATTTCTAAGGTTGGGCCCAGTAACCTGAAATTTCAGTGTGCTTCTGAGGTTGTTATTATGCATGTCAGCAGTCCACACTAAAAGACTTGGCCCCAAACAGTCATGTTTGAATTGGGTCAGAAAAATGAAACTCCTTAAGCCCTCCTAGTAAACTATTCCCTTCCCTTTGTATGCAAAGCATATAGGTCATTGTCTGGCAGACAATAGGTGCTGTACCAATGGTAGCAATTGTTCTTGCAGTATTTGTGATATTTGAAACATCATGAGTTTCTTGTCAAGGCCAGAATTAAGCATGATCTAGGGAAAGAGGTGTGTGTGTGTGTGTGTGTGTGTGTGTGAATGTGTGTAGGGGGGGTGGGGGTTGGTTGGGAAGGAGGGTATGCAAGGGACTGGATAATTCAGATTGTCCCCTCAGCCTGTTCCCCACTCTCAGTGCCGGCAACCATCTGCTCTAGGAGCTGCCTGTCTGGGAGTGGAGGGTATCCATGGTTACCAGTGTGGAGGTTGCCAAGAGGACTCTGTGGCCGCCAGCCAGAGGGGAGAGTGGAAATTAAGTGGAACCGAAAGTGACAGACTCGTGTGTGTTCAATGGAGTAGGAGGCAGTCAGCTGTGAGAGCCACGGTGGGGCATGGGCACGGCAAAGCTAGCGCTTGGGCACCCAGAGGAAGCCTCTAGACAACAGTGACTGCACAGCTGTGCCCAGGAGGATCACTTTAGGCAGTCTGAACAGTAATCTCTCTCTGTGTATGTCTGTCTGTCTCTCCCGCACACAAACCGCCTCCCTCCCTTGTTTTCTCCCTCCACTCCTAAGCAGATGCTTTAATTGTGGTGTTGGTTCATCTGTCTTTCTACACATATTTTTATAGGGTTGAAATCATGCACTTCCAATTCTGGATTCTTTACAAAAAGTTCCTTTGAGTCAGGCATTTAGCTTTGAGAAGAAATTATAGATTTAGAGTGAGATGTCTCCTGTGTTTGCACCCTGCATCAGCCTGGTCAAAAATTAGTGCTTGAGGCCAAAATGACAAGTTGGCCCAAAATGGATGTTCCTAAGTGAATGCTATTGTACATCTCAACCATTTTACTCGTTTCACCAGTTTTCAAGTTGGGGTTTTTTTGTGTGTGTATTTAGCAGCTTTGATAGAGCCTTCCGCATAAAGAAAAAAACACTTCCAACAGGAAGAAAGGAATGGGGGATTGTTTTACTTAGATATATATTTTTTAACTTTGTTTTTATAGATTTAGGGGGTGTAAGTGCGGCTGGTTACATGGATATATTATGTAGTGGTGAAATCTAGGCTTTTACTGTACCCATCACCCAAATAGCGTATATTGTAGTTATTAAGTAATCCTTCATCCTTTACCTGCCTCCCACCCTACTACCCTTCTGAGTTTCCAAAGTTGTTATTCTACTCTCTGTCCATGTGTACACATATTTAGCTCCCACTTACAAGTTAGAATATGTGGTATTTGACTTTCTGTTTGAGTTATTTCACTTAAGATAATGACTTCCAATTCTATCTGTGTTACTGCAAAAGATATGATTTCATTGTCTTCTATGGCTGAATAGTATTCCGTGGTATATATACCGTATTTTCTTTATCTACTCATCCACTGATGGACACAGATTGATTCTATATCTCTGTTATTGTGAACAGAGCTGTGATAAACAGCAGCAGCTATCTTTTTTATATCATGGTTTCTTTTGTTTTGGGGTAGACACCCGGTAGTGGGATTGCTGGATTGTATGATAGTTCTATTTTTAATTCTTTGAGAAATCTCCATACTGTTTTCCATAGAGATTGTACTAATTTACATTCCCAGCAACAATATATAAGCGTTCCCTTTTCTCCGCATCCTTGCCAGCATCTGTTATTTTTTGACTTTTTAGTAAATAGCCATTCTGACTGGTGTACGGTGGTGTCTCATTGTTTTGTTTCAGATATTTTTGAAAAGAGCATTCAGATATAAAATGCTGTATTGATCTTGGAGCGTGACATTAATAGAGTGAGAAACAATGTAAGTGGATCATTTCTCCTCATTTAGTGGTACAACAACAACCAGAGGCCTCATTATTCCTGTTACCCCAAGAGCACTAGAGGTGACAGTTGGGGAAGTTGGCAGGAGCACCCCAAGGGCAGTGCCAAATCCTTAGTGACCAACCATGTTTCAGGGGAAAATGGGCATTACCTGCCAGGGAGATCAAGATACCATTTCAAGCAGAATGTTTCTCAGATTCATCCATTGTCTAGATGAGTTCTGTTTCTGATCAGTTCATCTAGTTGTATATTATCTTGAGCAGGATACTTCATGGGAGTGGAAACAACCACTAGGACTGCTGTAAGCCAGGCCTGAGGGGCCTGTGAGGAGAGCTCAGCAGAGCACCGGGCAGATCCAGGCCCAGTCAAGCCACCCTGGTGTTCTTGAATTTTCCCCAAGGCAATGAAACTCTTTATTTACATCATTTAAATGATTACATACTATTCTAGCATGTAGACCTAGCACATCTTATTTAACCATTCCCCTATTATTGGACATTTCACTTGTTTTCAGGTTTTCACTCCTGTTAATTCAAAACATTACAGTGAAGGTAGTTTTGTCTGTCCTTCCTTCTTTCCCTCCCTCCCTCCCTCCCTCCCTCCCTTCCTCCTTTCTTCCTTCCTTCCTTCCCTCCTTCCTTCCTTCCTTCCCTCCTTCCTTCTTCCTTCCTTCCTTCCCTCCTTCCTTCTTCCCTCCCTCCCTCCCTCTCTTCCTTTCTTCCTATCTTTCTTTCTTTCTTCCTTAAGAAACAACTCCATTTCAAGGCAATAATTTTGATCCACTGATAGTTTCTTGACCAGAAGGAGTTTTATAAGTAATCTGTCCTGCCCTCCCATTTTAGAGATGTGACATCTGAGGCTGACAGCAGGGTTTGTGATTTATTCAGTGGCAAATCTACGGTGGGGTTCAGAGTAGAGAATTGGATCCAAGTCTTTTTGGATTCCTACTCTAGTGCTGTCTTCTCTCTCACCAAGCAGCCTCCAGCTCCACCTTTTCGTTTTGCCTGATCATGTATTTCACACCCCATCACCCAGAAATACTACAAAATTAGTCCATTCAAGACCCTATAAATAGCTGAGTTTATTTTATTGGATGTGTTTCTGACCTTTTAAATGTTTATTTATGAGTCAATACTGTTTTCACAGCAAACTAGAAAGCAGGGACTGTATCTTTTTCAATTTACAGTCAGTAAATGCTTTTCTTGCATGATTGAAAGGAGCGTGTGAATAATTCAACCACTCCATATATACAGTCTGCCATTAACTTTTATATTTTTGCTTGAGAAAAACATCAGTTTGGCAGCGGCTTGAAAATTGATTTAAAATTCTAACCTCGGCCGGGCGCGGT